CCTAGGTGTTCTATTATTATTATTTCGTTTCACATATTTGTTGGTACGTGTTCTGTTATTATTATTTCGTTTCACATATTTGTTCCTACGTGTTCTATTATTATTATTATTTCGTTTCACATATTTGCTCCTACGTGTTCTATTATTATTATTTCGTTTCACATATTTGTTCCTACGTGTTCTATTATTATTATTTCGTTTCACATATTTGTTCCTACGTGTTCTATTATTATAATTTCGTTTCACGTTTGTTCGTACGTGTTCTATTATTATAATTTCGTTTCACGTTTGTTCGTACGTGTTCTATTATTATTATTTCGTTTCACATATTTGTTCCTACGTGTTTTATTATTATTGTTGTTGCGTCATCGAGATCATGTGATTTTCACGCTCTCTACTTTCTAGAATTATCCTGTACTTTGGCGAATGTTCTAGTTCTTACTAGATATAGGGTAGGCGGGTATATAAAAGAGGGGACAACGTGACGCGGTATTGTAATGTGTGTGTAACAGTGAGTAATTGATCTGCAGTCAGAAGTATTATTGAGCACGTTCGTTGTTATAGCGTTTGTTTAGCGCGATTGTTGAAGTTGAGTGTATCGGTAAAGTTGTATTCGGAAAGAATAAACCAGTTTTATTAAGTAAAGAACTTGTGTCGCTAAAGTTTCGTCGGAACGAAGTTACGGAAAGTTAATTAACAAACGGAGACGTAACATTATTATTTTGTCCAAAACTTTTAACCAGAAAAAAGTTTATCTCTTTCACAACACTGGACTCTTTCGAAATCAAAAGAGACGTCAAGACGAAAACTCTTCCATGTAATTTAAGCAAGAAAATTGACGCAATGATACAGTGAAAGCTACATAAAATAGAAATAAATTGTTAAGAATAGTCAAGGACGAAGTCTGAATTACTTCAGAACGGAATCCTCTTCAGTTGTAGTGGACTTAAAAAATTCGGATGATGTTATAATAAATGTAAGTTACATTTGATAAATTTGGAGTGTTTCTCGCGAAACCCATCAGTAATTTGACATTTGAAGGCCTTTGTAGAATACTAAATATTCAACATATGTGGAATCCTTTTAAATCTTGTTACTTACGAACTTTACACATACAGCTCGTAGAAATGGTAGTTGCTTCGGTTTATATAATTTCATGGATTCGTGTTATGCACATGTCTTATATTTCTAGACTATCAAGCTATCTATTACATTACCTTAATATTATAATTATGATATACAAAATCAGCTCGTACTAAAAATGTTAGTGATATAAAGTCAGTCTTTCACCTTTTTGTTGAATTCATAATAAAGATTATTGTAAGTTAACGTGTGCTGTTTGTTTCAGTATGCGCGTCATTCACTTTTGTGTTTTTACTTCGTGTGAGATTTGACGTCAGTAGGACATGATTGGTTGGTTGCCTGCGGGAGGGTTTATCAATACCAGCACAGAAGATAGGTTAGTTATGCTTGTGGAGTTTCATGTGTGTGTGTGTGTGTGTGAGAGAGAGAGAGATTTTCCTGTGCGCGCGCGCACATTTCGCCGGTAGTGAAAGACATCAACTTTTCGGGATTTTGCCGCAGTAAGCTTCAGTTGTTCGAAAGCTCTTCCAGCGAGTAAATCTCCAACGAACCTGTTGTTTCATTATTAGTAAATCATGAATATGTAATCTAAGTTTCATGAATCGAAGTATTAAATGTTGTCTGTAATGTAAATTTGGCTGTGAAGTTGGCAAGCAACAGTTTTATTCTGTATATATACTGAAGTCTACTGTTGTGACTGTAATAGTAAGTATACTGTTTATTTAAAATCTATTTTCCCAGAACTAACCAATTTTCATCCACGATTTGTAATTGTTCTTACGTCGCGATTCTGTCAGTATTCTCCTTGAAACATTCAATTAATGTTTGAATT